GTAACTCTGCGCAACGTCTATCTTTAGTAGATTTGTAGTCACTGCCTATGATGATGAAACGAAAATTAGAAATTATATGCCCTGATGAATTGAAATGGTCACTCATAGGAAATCCATTGCTTTTATCTCTAATACATTTTTTATGATTATTGAGTCTGTATCTTAGTTTAGTGCCAGTCTCTCCAATATAATTACCCATGTTACATGTTATAATAATCATGCTCCCCATACAGGGAATTTATTCATCAAACTCCAGGCCTCCGGCCCCTTGTAAAACAAAATTATTACAAATTAAATAAGCGTGCTGTGACAATACCGTACTTTAAATAAATTTCATTAATACACCCGTGTTTCTTTGTTTTCCTTTCTCTTAAATGCATGATAAATAAATAAACATACTTTTCTAATTGTATTACTGCTGTCTCTTATACACATCTAGATGTGTATAAGAGACAGGCTCGATGCTATGCAGAGCGGTTTATGATAAATAAAAGTTATGTGGTGGTTTACCACAAAAGAGAAAGAAATAATAATGTTTCTTTTAAGTACAGTATTATATTGTGGTATTTTAAAATTGAGACAAATTTAGGTACCTCGTTTTGCTAGGTATCAATAATAAAATAGTCTTAAGACGAATTTAGGCGGATGTTTCGATACGCAAGGTTGAACAATATCGGGTCATGGGCGCTTTCTATTGCTTCGGTTTGGCGAATATTTCCTATTTTAAATTAAATTTAAACAATTATTACTAAATGGCAGTCAATACTCCTGTACATATATGAGAAAACATCAAGAAAAGCTCTTGGTAGATAACTTTCATTGGCATATGTATGGTATTTGTATGCGGGTAGGCCAAGTTCATATCCCATATGTCAATAATATGTATACCTAAACCTGAAAATAGTTTATAATAAAGTTCGTATATGTCATACAGTATCTTGTCACTGGAATAAAGTAGCGAAGTCTTTGACTTGTGATTCCGTGGGTGCGGCGTTTTCATCAAAACTTGTGCATTAGGGCAACGTTTCATAAATCTTATGAGTGTCTCTCGCAACAAACGAAGTCTTTCAATGACGCTCTCTTTCGTCCATTGGCTATAATGAGCCCATGGACTGACCATAATGACGTAGTTGCACGCACTGGAATTAAGGTTGTCCAAGACTTCATACTCCCATTTACCGACTCGGTAACGATGCTGAACGGAGCCAATACTGTAAGGATGGAAATAAAAATCGAAAGTCATAATGTCACTATGATGTCTAATCTGTTTGGTCGTTGGTCGGCTTGTGTAAATACTTTTGGTAACATTTGTAAGTTCTAGCATTCCTTCAGCCCACTGCCTTGTAGTTGAATCTCCCATAAATATAAGTTGTTTCTCTTTAATACACTGAATAATCTCAGGTCCTGTCCATTGTTTTGCTTTACATTGCAAAGAAGTCCAAATGCTTCCCGTCCAGAAACCGTCACTAAGAGGAATCGGCATATCTGGCTTGCATTCTGGCAACCATATTTTTTCCAGAATGCCTAATGTTGATTGGTCATCTACAGTTATTGAGAAAAAAACAGGCATGAGCTACGAAAAACGAACCTTTGAACGTGTAGCGATAGTCACTAAACGTGTCACAAATGAAAACAGTAATTATAATATTTACTAAAATCAGTCAAACAATATTATGTTATTATGTTTTAGTGCATGACAAATATCGCATTAGAATAATCACAAAAATGGAAATGTACAATAGATCTAAAAATTTAAAAAAAATTAGCCTTTATTGTTAATCAGATAACTTTTTATTTAAAAAGAATTCTGACTTGAAGATACTTTATGTGACAATAAGAAATACACATTAACATAAATATGTCATAGTATCTAATTAACCAAAACATTTGTAACAAAATATATGAAAAATTCTTTTTAAAAGAAATTCGTTTAAATTAGAAAAGTAAAGCAATAGAAGTAAATGGTCTGTTTTAATAGAGTATCAAAATCTCACCAGACGAGTTTATGTTGATAGAAGAGATGCCATTAGTCAATCGTGCGTACGTCACAGATCTAATTGTAAACATAAATGTGTAATTTATGTGTCAGCATTTCTGGTCATCAGGCAATGTTATCACTTTTCTAGGTGTCATATTTAATTTACTTTAATTCAATTTATTTCACTCACATATGCAAAAACATAACATAAATAAAGGACATGTGAGAGAAAAAAAAAGCCAAAAAAAAAAACCCCATCCAAAAAAAAAAAAACAACAAAAAACCCTTTATATTCGGACCTATATTTTTAAACCAACTCTACAATATTTGTAAACATTGCGTCTTAATTTATTTATTCATTTCTGACATACAATAAGTGCATATCACATAATAATGGTAATGATAATAATGGTGATAATGCATGATTATGAAAATAATATTAGCAGGAGCAGTAATATAGTTTATCTGATTAATAAAATCCTACTATTTTTTATACTGTAATAACATAAAATCAATAACAACATTAATAGCACAATCACGTTTTGTTTTCTTATGTGATGTTCAGAAGCCATTTTCATAACCAATAGAACGAAAAAAAAAAAAAGAAAATGCAAATTCTATATAACGCATTTTTTTATCGTAATCAAATGCCATCATTTACGTCATCAAGACCCTTCTCACGACAATATGTTCAGAAATTGGATGTTTAACATACATGGGTGCTGCTGGTGTTTTCTAAGTATCCAACCAAAAACATAATCTACAAGAGCTTGTATTAATTGTCATTCGAATCTACCCAAGTATAGAACTAAAATTTCTAAAATAAAATTTTGCTATAAATTTTCCTCCTATTTTAAATCACTTCCACCATATCCTAAACAGAACAGTACACTTAATTAGTATTTAAATATTAGCATTATTAAAATAAATATTTGAATAGTATTAGTATTATTATTATATTGTAAAATTGGAAATATATTTTTTACCTTATTACTTGGTAAAACTTTTATATTTTCCACAGTATATAAATGATTTTTGTTTCTTTTTAAATTGTACTCTATGTATTATTTGTGTTTGTATTTTTTTTTTTGGTATGTTGATACGACGTACGTATTGTAGTTATAGGTCCTCTTTCAGTAAGCATTGCTGTACAACTGTACATGTACATTGATTAAATAAAGTTTGTTTTATGGGGACTAATTGTGTAAGATGATAACACAGTAATGTTGGAAGTTTACAAAAAATATAAATATATAAACGTGCAGTACTTACTTATCATAGAGTGAACGATGAGATGTATATAACTTAGAAAAAACATCTTCAACATAAGAAGATGAAGACTTAATTGAAAACAACGTTTCACATGACAAATTTACTGGTTTATCACAGAGGAAAACTGTCTTTCCCAAAGCCCGTGGGTGACTGTATACGCATTTATCAGTCGCAGTAACTTTTGTAAATCTGCATAGTGTATGTTCGCTCTTTTTGCTATTTGCTCTGAAGTTTCCATTCCACCCTATTCTTTGTTCCGTGCTCCACAATTCGCTTTCAATATAATCTACTGTTTCTGAGGAATGTACAACAGTTATTTCAATTGTGGCTTTGCCAGCCCATGCAGCAAAGAATATGACTTCATAAGTTCCATTGTTGAAATCAATTATCTTTCCTGCTGAATGGCCTTTGGTAACTCTAATTGTTGCAAACAAAAAATCGCCTCCTTTTACACGATGTTGGTCCTTACTATCACGGGCCTCTATGATTACACTAAAAAAATCACCAACTTTGACATGTTTGTCTGCATTCTTAAGAGCAATCAGCGTTTTTCCCCCATCAATCATTCCCACATTTCCTTTTTCTGTTACATCGTTGTCTGTATATTTAGTATGATGAGCATCCTTTACGGACTGATACGTCGGTATAAATATTTTATCAGACTTTTTAGCTGTGTACGCTACCGATGATGTTTTTATATTACTGCTTGAGAATTTCAAAATGTCCTGGTCAATGGAGAAAATGATAAAATTGTAATAAAATGTGCCTATTATTATCATTATATCGGTGCAAATATGTACTTAATACATTGAAGATTAGAACAGAACTAGTTGTTATTCTGATAATTAAGTAGGCCTGAATAAACAGAGTATCTACGAGCTAATTCTACAAACAATGGCGTCACAGGAAGGTTAGGGGAAAAGACTCTCCCCCTCCCCCACCCCCACCACCCACTGACAGATTTTACCGCGCTGACCAAGCCGTCGTACCCCGCTGGGTAAGAAGAGGAAAGAAAGAGAGAGGAAGGGAAAGAGAAAGAACAAAAAAGAAAACGGGAAGAGAAAAATAAAGACAAGAATAAAAAGGAAGATATCATATGATCAGATATCACATAGTCCCAACTCAAAGAGAAAGAACATTTAAGATAGATCGTTTTACCATAAAAGAAGGGCCTCATTGGTCCATTCTAAAATGTTAAAAAAATAAAAAATAAAAAACTACAGTAATAACTACAGTAATGCGTCTGTCTACAAAGTAGGCCTATGATGACGATTATGATATTTATGGTGATGATGATGATGAAGTTTGACAAGAAGTTTGAGAGGATGAAGAGGATGAAGAGGAGGAAAAAGAGGCAGATGATGATGATTTTATTTGATTCCAATATGAGCATGGAGAAGCATAATAGCATTTGTAAATCTATAGCATTTCAGGGATGAAATATCGGCGCAATCGCCACCTTTTACCCAACAAGCACTTATTAAGATTATCCATGCATTCATCAGGTTGGACTATTGCAACAGCGTATATGACCTTCCTGATAAATTAATCTCAAAGCTGCAACGTGCTCAAAATAATAGGCCTATGTCTGCTAGACTTATTTCTGGAACTCCACGTTTTATCACACCCATTCTGAACCGACTTCATTGGCTTCCAGTCAAACATTTTTTAATATTGAAATAATTCATCTGGATCTTGATGTAATTAGAAGATAATTCGTTTATGTTAAGCCAACTAATAATTAGAAATAAAGTAAACTTACTCAGGACGTTTTGAGACTAATCTAGTCTCCTTTTCAACTGATGTTGTTGTTGAGTTGAGTGGACTAACTATGATGTCACATTATTGTGACGTCGTACATCTCTATCTGTCGATGTTGATGACAGACGATCTCTGTGGCTGCGGGTCGGGATGAGGATTTGTGGACTACATCACATCATCCTCTAATTCACAAATTAAGTGTCATCAATACGCTTGTCGACAGGTGTGAGAAAATCGTATCATCACCAGAAGGACAAGAGGAAGCAATGACCGAAATTAAGAGATCTCCCCAACATATACAGTGACATTCTCGTCATCCCGACCCGCAGCCACGGAGATCGTCCGCCATCAACATCGACAGATAGAGATTTATATATATA